TTCTTTTGTAAACACCGTCGAACTTTCATGTATTTGTTCTACCTATAACATAGACTTCAAACAAAAACAAGCAAACCTCATAACAAGAAACCATGTGTTGCTGCTGCTGTGATGATGATTGTAAATGCAGGCCTTTAGGCTTTCTCTTAGGCCTGCCATTTGCTTTCCTCTCCGTAATCCTCTCTATCATCGGGGTGTTTGTGTGGATTGTTGGGTTAGTATCATCAACTTTCTTTACAATTTGATTCCTTAAAGTTTGAAGAACTTAAATGTTATACAATGGATAGATGTCTGCTTGTGTAGTATTAGATTTTTATGGCATGAAACTGATGTCGAGTTGGCTTATTTTTGTGTTACAGATTGGTGTTGACTTGCATATGCCCTTGTTGCTTGTGTGTGACCATTATAGTTGAGTTCGCGCTGGGGTTGATCAAGGCTCCCATTCTGGTTATGAAGTGGTTTACCTCAAAGATTCCTTGCTAGATTTCTTGATTCAGAGTGCATATAGATGTCAAGATTCGTCAATTCCTGTTTTGCAGTATATGCGATTGCATTCATTGTTGATTATTGTTGGATGTAGTTTGACTTTTTTATCTGGACATGGGAATATGATGCCTGTATTTTCTGGCCCATCTTGATTCCCCATGTTCTTTACCTTATGTTAAATTCGATTCTTCCTTCTTTTGATTATTTGACATATTATAAGATATGAACGTAGCTTTTTCTTTTTACTTTATTTCATTTATTAAGTTGAAAATATAATACCCAGTGCTTAATATTAAGTTGAGCCAGTGCGAGGGCTTGTGGATTATCGCCTTTCTATCCATCTAATGTGACTAGTGATGGGCTTAAAATTCATGAATATCACAAGAAAAAACTATATGATTTTTCTTTCTCAAGGAAAAAAAAAAACTGCAGTCTCTTTGTGTATGATAATATATCTTTTCAAATCCAGAAAATCTCCTCTCCAAAAATGTCTTTTAAAAAATCCAGACTCTGGAATTTGATCGTTCCCTTGCTGAATGGGTTCCCTAGTAGGCAGGTGAATGCCAGCAGCAAAATAGACTGCATGGAAAGTCTATCTGGCCCAATCTTGATTGGGCACGATTAGACTGATAGGCATAATGGGTCAATCTTCAAACCATCGGACTGTTACTGTGCATGATGATGGCGTTTGCAACAGATAGAATTATTATCATACAAAGTTTCTTTATAATTTGCACAAATTGAAATATTTTTTTTATCTTGAATAATCAGAATTTAGATCAAATTTGGGATGGCAGCCGAAATTACATCAGTTAAGATTATAGTTAAGTGGATTTATTAACGAAAACCTAAAAGCTATGGAAAAATGAGTGTGCACCAAGACAGTGAGTTACTTGGATTGGAATATTTTTTTTTTTCTTTTTTATGGTTTTTTTTCTTTTTTTTCTTTGATCATTAAATTTCTTTTTATTGATTTTGTCCATTTTTCTTTAATTTAGTTTTTTTATGAGATTATGAGAATGCTAGAAAAATCTCATCATGAGGTTGATGTTTCATTTTATATTAAAAAAACTTGATTTTATAAAATAAAAAAAATTCATTAAAAAGTTGTGGATCAAAATTCATAGAGGGAAGCAAATAAAGTATTTCTTTGCCGGTACTGTACATCCAGCGCATTGTTAAAAGAAATTTGCCTTTGTATTTTTTTCTGTGAGTGTGAGGTGAGCGATAGTCATCTCAAAAAAATTAAAAAGAATAAAGTGATGAATGAAGTATATTTGTATTATTTTTTTTATTTAATTTGAATTATTTAAAATAATATCAAAGCATGATTTTATAGAACAAGATTTAAATTTAAACACAACTTTCATGAATCTAATTTTTTAGAGTGATATTTGTTTAGTTTTTGCAAATTTAGTATTTTATTTTTCTTTTAGTATCAGTAATTTAGTATTTCATCTTCCCTTCAATTTCTAAAACTTTATATTTGCATTTTATTTTTACAAATTTAATAGATATTTGTTCAGTTTTTATGATATTTCTTTAGTTTCTACAATCTGTATTTTATTTTTTATTTCTTTTGCATTCTGATTTTATTTGTTTGTTGATTATGGCTACTAAAAAAGATGATTCGTGTTAGTATGTGAGCGTAAGGTTGGATGAAAAAAATTATTCATATTGGAGTTATGTAATAAGGAATCTTTTTAAGAGTAAAAAGATGTGGTGATATATTAGTGGAACTTATCTGATACCTAGAAATACTAATAAAGGATATGCTGCTTTGATAAATGCATAAGAAGCAAACAATGCAAAGATTGTTACTTGGATTAAGCATTCCATAGTTATATAGTTGGTGAAGTATGAGATAACAAAGGAGATTTGAAATCATCTACAAAAGTTATTCATACAATCAAATTTTACAAAGCAATATCAACTAGAGAATGACATACGAACTATTTACTAGAAAAATAAGAATATTCATGAGTTTTATTCTATTATGATAAATCTTTAGGATCAATTAGCTCTTACAACATTAATAGAATTAACGATATGTGTGTCTACATTGATCATGGAGAGTATCAATGATTGGTACAGTTTTTAATATCATTTCACAGTGATTTTAAAGGATTTAGAGGTTCAATTTTGCATCGTTCTCCACTCTTTTCTATTGACTCTGTTGTCAATGAGTTATTGGCTAAAAAAAATACATCTTCGGTCTTATTCTAAAAAAAAAATTATATATGCTTTGAATTATTATGTACTAGGAATACTGTCTAAGTCATTTTTTAATCATCAGAATAAACCTTACATATTTATGAGAATGCTAGAAAAATCTCATCATGGGGTTGATGTTTCATTTTATATTAAAAAAATTGATTTTATTAAATAAAAAAATTCATTAAAAAGTTGAGGATCAAAATTCATAAAGAAGGAAGCAAATAAAGTATTTCTTTGCCGGTACTGTACATCGAGCGCATTGTTAAAAGAAATTTGCCTTTGTATTTTTTTTTCATTTTTTTTTTTTTTTTGATGTTTTAGTTTGAAACCCGTTCAAAATATAACTTTGTATATACTTTTGTCCATGTGAGTGTGAGATGAGCGATAGTCATCTAAAAACGATAAAAAAAGAATAAAGTGATGAATGAAACCTTGACCTTTTTTTCTTTTATATTTGTATTATTGTTTATCTAATTTAGATTATTTAACATAATATCAAAGCATAATTTTATAAAACAATACTTAATCTTAAACACAACTTTCATGAATCTAATTTTTTTAGAGTGATATTTGTTTAGTTTTTGCAAATTTAGTATTTCTTTTTTTTTTTTAGTGTCAGTAATTTAGTATTTCATCTTTCTTTCAGTTTCTAAAATTTTGTATTTGCATTCTATTTCTGCAAATTTGATAGATATTTGTTCAGTTTCTATAATCTGGTATTTTATTTTTTTGCTTCTTTTGCATTCTAGTTTTATTTTTTTGTTGATTATGGCCACAAAAAAAAATGATTCGCGTTAATATATAAGTGTGAGGATAGATGGAAAAAACTATTCATATTGGAGTCATGTAATGAGGAATTTCTTTAAGAGTAAAAAGATGTGGTGATATATTAGTGGAATTTATATGATACCTAGGAATACTAATAAAGGATGTGTTGCTTTGATAGATACATAAAAAGTAAACAAAGCAAAGATTGTTACTTGGATTAAGCATTTCATAGTTACATAGTTAATGAAGTATGAGACAACAAAAGAGATTTGAGATTATCTACAAAAGTTATTTATACAATCAAATTTTACAAAGCAGTATCAACTAGAGAATGACATACGAACTCTTTACTAGAAGAATAAGAATATTCATGAGTTTAATTCTGTTATGATAGATCTTTAGGATCAATTGGCTCTTACAACATCAACAGAATTAACGGTATGTGTGTCTATACTGATCATGGAGAGTATCAATGATTGGTACACTTTTTAACATCATTTCACAGTGATTTTAAAGGATTTACAGGTTCAATTTTGCATCATTCTCCACTCTTTTCTATTGACTCTGTTGTTAGTGAGTTATTAACTAAAAAATTACATCTTCAGTTTTATTCTAAAAAAGAAATTATATCTGTTTTGAATCCTTATGTACTAGCAGTACCGTCTAAGTCATTTTTTAATCATCAGAATAAACCTTACATAAGGTTTGCCTTCAACAAGTGTAGTTTCTATAAGCATAAAGGTTATTAGAAGGCTTAGTGTCCTAAATTGAGACAGCAAAATCAAGCTTAGAAGTCTGGCAACCAGTCATAATCTAATGGTCATAGACCACCTCAAAGTTGTTAACCACCACACCACAATAATAGTTTTATCAGGCTTTATCACTGATCCTAGTATTCTAGCTAAGCAATTTTAAAAATTTCTCTCCTTACAGCTATAAACAATGTTCATTTCTCTTATGTAAATCAGTTGCCTTATAAATCCTCAAGTATGTCACATTCTAAATAGATATTGGATTCTTGTACTTCACATCATGTCTTTAGATTTTTTATCTTTTACTTATATATCCATTTCATCCTTTATCCTTATTATAATTGTTGATGGCACTCGCATGCCCTTAACAGGTGTTGATTCTATTGTCACATCTCACTTGTCTCGCTCTAATGTTTATCTTATTCCAAAACTCATATTGAATCTTGCATCTATTAGTTATTTATGTGATTTTGATGATTATTTAGTTATTTTTTTATTTTATACAAGATCCTCAATTTTAGAAGCTGATTAGGATAGGTTTTAGAAAGAATGAACTATATATTTTGGATGAGTTAAAAGTGCTAGTTATTATTGATGTTACAACTAGTGTTAATTTGTCTTCTTTTCATTTGAGTCATTTATCTTCTAGTTTTTATTTATGATATTCTCGTCTACATCATATTTTATCTTCTTGTTTGAGATTTTTGCATCTACATGAGCTTTAGAAAATTTACAAACTTGTGATATTTTTTATTGTAATAGATGTAAATTGGTGAAATTTTCTGTTTTATCTTTTAATCAAAGTATTTATATTTCATTATCCTCATTTAACTTTATTTATTCTAATACATGAGAACCTTTTTTTATTGCTATAAAAGAAGGGTCTCGATATTATAGTTCTTTTATTGATGATCATACTCATTATTATTAGGTTTATTTAATAAAACATCGTCTTTAATTTTTTGAAATATATATAACCTTTTAAGCTCTTGTCAAAACTCAACATTTTGTTATTATTAAATATTTTAGGTGTGATTTGGGTGAGGAATATACCTCTAATAAATTATATGAGTTTATTGCCTTAGAAGGAACAATTCACCAAATTTCATGTACATATACTCTTGAGCAAAATGAAGTTGCTGAAAAAAATGTAAGTTTATTGTCGAAACTACTCACTCTTTTTATTATTTACTTATTATTGTAAGTTAATTACTATAATTTTATCTTCTCACATTTCATGTTTTTCTCATTTTAAAAAGTTTTATAGGTTTGCCCCTGATTATTCCTCCTTTGTAGTTTTTGGTTGTATTTGTTTCATTATTCGTTAGTATATAGAATGTAGTAAGTTGTTATCTCGATCTGCTATTTATATCTTTCTTGGCTATGGTAAAGGTAAAAAAAGATATCATTATTTTGATCTAATAACTAAGAAACTTTATATATGCCATCATGTTGTCTTTCTCGAGCATATACTTTTCTTTTCTAT